TGTGTGTGTGTGTGTCTCTGTCTGTGTCTGTGTCTGTGTGTGTGTGTGGTGTGTGTGTCTGTGTTGCGTGTGTGTGTGTGTGTGTGTGTGTGTACCTCTCTGTACATTACGTTATCCGGTTGCTTGAGCACCACCTTGTGAGTTTCGGCTGAAGTTGAAACATGAACATGGAGTGAATCCAGATCGGTCAGGTTCTTGAGGAACAAGTTCTTCAGCCAATCAGAAGGGCCCATGACGCCGCAGCACATCTCCTGCCGATGTTTTATTAAGCAGATAAAATGATCATCCTTTATTTTATTAATTTAGTCAAAGAAGTGACAAAACGTGGACTACAGTAGTGCTGGATGTTGTCCACCAGCGTGTCCTGACTCTCTGTGTCTCCTCTGTAGTGGACGATCAGGTGGTCCAGCGTGTTGTCCACCTTCTTCTCAATCTGTTCATGAAACACAGCAGGAGGTTAGAGTCCCGCTCAGGATCACACACAGAAGGCCTTCACACTGACTGTGATCTGAAATCAGAGTGTGTTTACTTGAACAGCCAGAATTTTTAAGAATGAAACGGAGCGCTCTGGTAATACTAACCCTCCCTCCTCACCAGCTGTTCATATTTAAATGAATACATAACCGGACGTACGGACCGTCGGCCGCGTTAGCTCGATGCTAGCTTTGAAGTACGTCGCGTGACCCGTATGTATTTTAGTATGTTGCTAACTGCAAACTCAGAATGTGGTTTCTATATTTTGAGAGGAAAGGCGACTTCTCAGAGAGTTTGAGAAACGTCTTCATGTTTTCACCTGCCTCACCTTGCCTTTGTTCAGGAGCAACAGCAGAGTGATGAAGAGCTGACCGAAGACGAGGATGATGAGGAAGCCCTGGTACTGAGGAGGAGGAGGAGGAGGAGGGGAGGAGCAGGAGGAGGAAGAGGAAGAGGAGGAGGAGGAGGAGGAGGAGGAGGAGGAGAGGAGAAGAGAGGAGGAGGAAGAGAAGAGAGGAGGAGGAGAAGAGGAGGAGGAGGAAGAGAAGAGGAGGAGGAGGAGAAGAGGAGGAGGGGAGGAGAGAGAGGAGGAGGAGGAGAGGGAGGAGGAGGAAGAGGAGAAGAGAGAGGAGGAGGAGAGGAGGAGGAGGAGGAGAGGAGGAAGAGGAAGAGGAGGAGAGGAGGAGGAGAGGGGAGAGCAGGAGGAGGAAGAGGAAGAGGAGGAGGAGGAGGAGGAGGAGGAGGAGGAGGAGAAGAGGAGGAGGAGAGAGGAGGAGGAGGAAGAGGAGAAAGAGGAGGAGGAGGGAGGAGGAGGAGGAGAGAGAGAGGAGGGAGGAGAGGAGGAGAGGAAGAGGAGAAGAGAGGAGGAGGAGGAAGAGAGGAGGAAGAGGAGAAGAGGAGGAGGAGGGAAGAGGAGGAGGAGGAGAAGAGGAGGAAGAGGAGGAGGAGGAGAAGAGGAGGAGGAGGAGGAGGAGGAGGAGCAGGAGGAAGAGAAAGTGTTTATTTCACAGTTCATTATAATAATAAAGTCTTTATAGGGTGTGACTCACCGTTAGCAGCAGGATTTTGTTTTCTTTAACAGCTGAGACAAATCCAACCACCACTGACCACGCCCACCACGCCACCCATAATCATCAGTCCCGCCCCCACGGTACGCAGCTCATCTGAAGACACACACACACACACACACACACACACACAATAACACAGTGAATAGATCTAACTTTGGGCCCCTCCCCCACAGCCTGGAGATATGACCCTGTTTACCTCTGTAGAGATCCTCTCTGGACAGTGAACCACAGCTGCTGTGTTAGCCTAGATGGAGCTAGGCTAACACTTTCCCTCTGATTGCAGTGATTATGCTAAGCTAGGCTAACCTGCTGTCCCTTTCAACATGATCTGCAGCAGTGCTACCTGAGGGGCGGCAGTCAGCAGGTTCCTTATGTCGAACAGGATCCACAGTCCACACAAGAACACGCTCAGACCCAGAGCCTGCAGAAAGGTCAGAGGTCAATCCAGTTCCAAAAAAACAGTCCTTAACATATGTTAAGCTTTATCAGATATAAGTACATTTTATTATTCTTAAATTAGATTATTTTATGACTCTTGAATTGTTGTCCTTATTTCTGCTGGCTTCTGTTTTTTAAAAGGAGCAGTATGTAACTCTGTGTAACCCCCTAGTGTTTAAAATGGGTACTGCAATCTAAATTCTAAACATCATCAGAGTGGATGCTCACTCAGTTCACCATGTTGGACTCTGAAGCTTCAGTGTTTATCCCAGCTCTGCATGGGTCTGTAAACTTTCTGTGTTCTAACCTCTCTCCATTTTTCAAAGCATCTCCAATATTGATCCTAGTTTGAGCACGTTTCTGCTCGTGGAGCTTATTAGAAACATGCAGAGCTTTTTAGGTCGGGTACAATCACTTCTATCTGAACCACTTCTCTTGACCGCTTCCATCGCTGCACACCTGTTGACCTGATAACTGCTCTCATATCTGACAACACAGGGCGTCCAAAACGGCCGGTGCGGGGGTCTTAAAAGCGCCTACCTTCTCTGGTCCAAACAAATCCAGAGCATTCAGGAGCAGAATGTAAAGTTAGAAGGAGGACATACTGGCTGCTGCATTGTTGTCAGAGAAGCCAGCACTTCAACATAGCATGTTTCCTTAATGATCAGAGAGTAAGATACCTTTATCATCTCACTCTCTACACAGCTCACTGATTGGACCTTTAACTGAGTCACATGTTTCTGAATGAAGCTGCTCTGACGGGTTCGTCTTTAACATCATCTCCTTCCTGTGAGGTTTCATCTCCCGCTCCTGAAGACAAACTTCAAAAATATTCTATCTGAATATCTCTATTCATTATTTAACCACTCTGACTTCATCATGAAGTAAATAAACATCTGATTGTTTATTTTCTGATCTTACCAGGAAGATGAAGTTTAAAACTTCAGAGCTGAATGTCAGCAGCTGAATCTTCACATGCAGCTTCATCTTCAGAAACCTGCACCTCCTCGTATCACCTGTCCCAGAACTCAGCAGTCTGTACAGGAGAGCTTGGCAGGTCCAGGTGTGTTTAGGAGAACTCTGCAGGTCCAGGTGTGTTTAGGAGAACTCTGCAGGTCCAGGTGTGTTTAGGAGAACTCGGCAGGTCCAGGTGTGTTCAGGAGAACTCTGCAGGTCCAGGTGTGTTTAGGAGAACTCGGCAGGTCCAGGTGTGTTCAGGAGAACTCGACAGGTCTAGGTGTGTTTAGGAGAACTCTGCAGGTCCAGGTGTGTTCAGGAGAACTCGACAGGTCCAGGTGTGTTCAGGAGAACTCGACAGGTCTAGGTGTGTTTAGGAGAACTCTGCAGGTCCAGGTGTGTTCAGGAGAACTCTGCAGGTCCAGGTGTGTTTAGGAGAACTCGACAGGTCCAGGTGTGTTCAGGAGAACTCGGCAGGTCCAGGTGTGTTCAGGAGAACTCTGCAGGTCCAGGTGTGTTCAGGAGAACTCGACAGGTCCAGGTGTGTTCAGGAGAACTCTGCAGGTCCAGGTGTGTTCAGGAGAACTCGACAGGTCCAGGTGTGTTCCTCAGGTGGTTCAGGTTCCTCAGCAGAGATTCAGTGTCTGCCTGAGTTTCAACAACACCTGAGATCAGAGTCCACTTCCT